GACAATATGTGAATGTTTTCTAGAAGATTTACAGATGGTACTGGAAATAGTCTTTTGTTTTTAAAGTTTGGTTGATCATGTTGTTAAATTTATTTGCTCTCATCATCAATCGTAGAATTGTATTTAACCTCATTCTGTAATATATAGAAGAAGTTGTAAAAAAGTTTTCAATATTTAATATTTTGACATGAGATAGCTCGAGTGCAAGATTTTTTCACAAAGTTTTTGCAAAGAAGTGTAGAGAAACTGTTTATCTGCATATTTGTATATTGGTTTTATATAATTTTCAGAAGTAAACAGAGGTCATTGCAAAGACGCTAAAAACCCTCTAAACTCGATCCATCCATCACTATTCATTCTATTTGCCATTTTCTCTCTTTTTTTTTTCTTCAAGAGTCTCTCTCCCTCTCTCTCTCTCTCTTTTTCTCTCCTTTCCCTATTTCATATTCTTTTGGACATTTGATGAACGAACGCGTTCAATTTTAATAGATGGTCAACATTTCTCTCTCTCTCTCTCTCTTCCTCTCTTTCTATTTCTTCACTTCTCTCGTTTCTTTTTTTTCTTTTTTTGTCCATTTAGTCATTGATATACCATCGTAAGAAAAAATAATTATCATTCGAAAAGTTATCTGCTTTTTCTTTTGTATTTATTATGATCATTTGATACTTTGTACAAAAAGAAAATAAATCTACGATCAATTCTATTTCGTCCGGGAAAAGTTATCGAAAGACAATCATCATTTTTCGGATGTTACAGTAAGAGAAATAATCTTTAATCGTAAAACGTTCTAATTATTATCTGTCGACGATTATTATTATTATTATTATTATTCGATTCGTTATTCATCGTTCACTCCATTATATAATTGTTTAACTAGTCCTCTGAAATCTAAAAGAAAAAAAAAGTCAAGTATTTTTTGACCTATTCATATAAAATCAAAAAAAAAAGAAAAATATATTTATATATATAAATTCAAGTTTGTACGACCTTACGATGGATTAACAAAAAAGATAATCGTATATTTGTTTAATGAAGAAGAATTTTCCTATATAGTTGAACAAGCCTACTATTGTATAATCATTCAAATTGTTCAATATATGGTTTATTATACAGAAGATAATTGAAACAATGATAAACAGAATTCTATTCATTAGTTGTAAGTAAAAATAAAAACTTTTTTTCTTGTTCAGTATTTGAAAATGTCAGAGAAAAATTGATATTTTAAATTATTAATATTTCAAATTTAAAAAACAAATCTACAATTAGAATTCTATTAGAATTAATGATATCTGTATCATATTGTAATTGTTACATTACAGAAAGAAAAGTTTAATCGGAAATAGATTGAAAAAAAAAATTTATTCAGTGTTAGTTATAAACAGAACATTATTGAAATTAAAGTGAAAATTAAGTTGTTAAATGTATACATATTTTTGGAGAGAAATAAAACAAAAAAAAGGTGAAACAATATATATTCATTTCCTTCTAAGTGTCGTTGTTTAAGACAAGAAATATACACCATATAAAGAAATAGCCACATTAGTGTCAGATTGAAAATGTGTACAATCATGTACAAATGGCATCAGTTGACTCTATGTACATAATTTCTGGTACATTTTATTTTTTCTTCTCTTTTTTTGATTTTTTTTACAAAAACTTGTTCACACATCGTACAACACATTTATCATTATTGTAGTTTATGCCATTCTTTTTCATGATGCTTGACAGATTGAATGATTTGTGTTTTATGCTATGTTTTTTAATTGATAATAATTACAAACACTCAATTATAGTCAATATTGAAACTTTTTTAAATTCTATAGAAAATCTGTTTTGTTCTATACGAATAGAATATAAAATGAATTTGTTCAATTATTAGATCTTGAAAAAGTTGTTGGCTTAGAAATAACGATTTTTTATCTATTATAAAATGTGATAACACAAGAACAAAAGGTGTTTTAAATGACATTATGTTTAATAATATTTTATATTTTGAGAAGAGAACATAGATGAAAGACAGTGACAAAATTAAGAGATATTTTTTTGGTTTTTTAATAATAAAATTTGTTATTGTTTGATTTTATATTCTCAATTGTATTTCTATCAATTAAGATTGTCGTGTTACTAGGAGTGGTGGTAGTAGTAGAAAGAGAGAGAGAGAGAGGAGAAAAGAATATTGTACTTCCTATTACGCAAATATTTTGCATAATTTTGTAAGAAAAGGTGTTTATTAAAGAAAAAAAAAATTTTTAAAAGTCACTTGACTTCAATACTTCTAAAGGTATGATTGAAGTAAAGAAAAAAGAATTCTTGAAACATATGTTTGATATATTGAATTTGTCAAAAAGATTGTACTTGTATGTGTGTGTTTATGGAATCAATGGCATGCTCTCTTTCTTCTCTTATACAAATCATAAATTGTGTGAATGAATATGTTCTTGAAAATAAATTGTTAAAGTGCAGCTGCTGAGTCGGACTACGGCATTTCCCAGGTTAATCATAACAGTTGTCAAAAAATCAACGTATAACATTTCTCTTTGAATAAATGTAAATTTAAAATTCCAATGGTAATAAGTGATTATAGAATTATTTAGTAGATAGTCTCTTATCTTTCTTTTAATAACATACAATGAGGTTAGATTTAGGGAGTCTTTTTCAAATTGGAGAAAGCTCTTTTATTTTTATTTTTTCTTGTAACCAAACGGTTGTATATAAAAAAAAAATACGGTGTATATTGAACGAGAGAAGAATAACAATCTGTCTGTATTGTTACTTCATTTCATTTGATTTTCTTGTTGCAAAGAACACTACTCTACTGTATATGTCATACATAAATTGAATGATTGTTTTCTCTTGATCGGTTGGTTTACCGTACATATATACACCAGATAGTTCATTCATTCATTCATTCATTCATTCATACATGCATAAAAAGAATACAACAAAAATTTATTTGGATTAGGATTTTTTTTCTCTTTTGTTGTTTGACAGGAGCTCGTGTTCACCGCCGCATACAGAGATAACAAAAAAAAAATAGTAATAATAATCAGATAAGCGTTAATGAACATGAAGACTTCTACGTGTTTCATAATAATGATAATAATAATTCTTCATGATGAGGTAACAACAACAATCTCGTATAAAGAGATCATCAGTCAAGACAAAGAACAGAGTGAGAATTATCAATTGATATTAAAAACCAGAAGTGTTCTACTTTATTAATGTATATCACGTAAAATTTCGATTTGTCTTCTAATCGAACATAATCAACTATTTTTAACATTGAGAGGAAAAAATAGATATTTTATTGAGGAAAATATCATTGATTCAAAAATTAAATTCAAATAGTCTCTTTTCTATTCAATAAATAAGAATCATGATATATATATATATATATATACACGTTCATACATAACAATAACTGCCTTAGTCAGTTGATCTGTTTTCTTCTTAGTTTTAAATTGACATTTTGTATATGCTTGAGCTAGACATAATAATGATAATAATAATAACAACAAGTCAAAGTCAAAATTTGATAATCATCTATTAACGCACACTTCTTAACATTCATATAATGGTAAAATATAAAAGATATTTTTTATTATTATTAATATCTAACATTTTTTGAGTGAGAGAGAGAGAGAGAGAGAGAGCGTTTGGATGTTTTGATCAGTCTTCGTATATATACACTGATATATTAGATTCAAACAAAAATAAACTCTTCATTCTGGCGCAAATTGAATATCGATGTCATACAGCTCTCATTTACAGATATATATACACACACTCTTGGATATCAATTATGATGACTTTTTTATTTTTTCATTTCAAGTACTCTAGAAAGTACAATGATCTTTGGTTCGTCAATACACTTGATCATATTTGTTTTTATATTCAATATGTATGTTTGTATTATACAGAATCACATACACACAATAACTTTTCATTTTTTTTTTTTTCTTCACAGAATAGAGTTTCACAGTAAATTACACCAAGTACAAATGAGAAAAGAGAGTAAGATAGGCTTGTATAGTCATTATTAAGGGAATAAATAACAGATTTTATTTTTTTGGTTTTGTTCCATCAGCACTTTGATCTAGACAAGATTTAGAAAATATTTTTTACGATCTAGTAAAATCTTCTTTTAAATATGTTGTTTAAATTGCAATTGTATTTTGTTGTGCCCGTTAGCTAAGTGTACTAGACAAACATCCGATTCTAATTGAACTTGTACGAATAATTGATCGTTTCAATAATTTAAACGATTTGATCAAATACAACAAGAGTACAATAATGATTTCCTTCGTATCGTATATGTAGTTCGATGTGTGTGTCAACATTTACTCACCTGTTCAATACAAGAAAACTATACACGAAAAAAAAACTTTAATTCTACTAATTAAAATTACTTCAACTTTTCATTGTAAAAGACAACAATCAAAAAAAAAATTATATATATCTTTTACCAGCTAAATTCGGCAACTAGTTAAAAATTGTTAAAATTGAGAAATTAATTTTCTTAAATATCCATACATCAAACTGACTTTTCTTCAAGTCATTTGATAATGATAGATTAAAAAAAAATGATGAGAGACAAGTATAAAATTCGATTATTTCCTCCTTTATAATGATGATCTATTTGAAATCCATATTCATATATCTATTTTGTTATATACAACATATGATTGACATTTTAATATTTCATTTGTGCATGTCAATGATGATAATAGACATTGTCCATGCAGAAGAAGAAATAATAATAATCGCGTGAATCACCACCATCACAACGGACAAAATGATACGCTCTATTTATGATTAGTAGTTTGAGTGATAAAAAAAAAAGAAGAAGAAGGAAAACTAAGTGCTTTTCTAGGTTAATGTGTTCAAAAGAGTCAGTTCTTTATTTTTATTCGATGATAATAATCATGTATTGTGGGATTTGGATAAATTCTAAATTTAAATGTGATTAAATTGACACTTTTTGTATTTTGTAAAGAAGATGGATATGATATGTATATAGACAAAATATCTCAAAGTTAAAGATAAAAAGATAGATTAGTTTTAAACCTAAAAGCAATGAATAACATCTTTTCTTAATGGTAACATTAATATTGCACATATTAAGTGCATCTCTATTATTAAATATCAGCTAAAAACAGATTGCAAAGAAAATTTTAACAAATATAAAATCATTATTTATATATCTTTTATTATTTTTAGTTATATTATTTCCAAATAATGTTTTATTATCCAATGTATTAAGTACACGAACAATAACTGAAAAAGAAGGTCATGAAGTTGTATTATCCTGTCGTTTCGATCAATTATCTGATAAAGATCGTGTTATGTGGTCAAAAGATAGTATTATTTTATCTGTTAATTTTGAAATTAAAGCAGATAAACAACGATATGAAATATCAGGAAAATATGATTTAATTGTTAAAAATATTACTGGTAATGATAGTGGAAAATATTTATGTCAAAATTTTGATCAAGAATTATCAATAATAATTATATTAACGGTTCTAAGTAAGTAGTACGCTTATTTTTATATTTATTTACAATTCATTTTATTTTTAAATCTCTTCAAATTTATATCGTTGAAAAATGAGAATCTTCTCTTTGTTCTAAGATATTCTTTTTTTCTTTCTTTCTCTCTCTCTCTCTCTCTCTCTCTTTGTCATAGAATAATTGAAAACTATGTTTGGTTGTTTTAATTAGACTAGTGACAATTGTTAACCGTTTTTAACAAGCTTGTTCAAAAGGATAATAATAGAGTGTTAATCCTTAGTTAAACGTCTTTTCATTTGTACATATTACAAGTTTCATTTTTCAAAATTTCTTACAGAGATCAGACAAGAAAGTGTGTGATTATTCAAGGATAGGAATATGATACTAAATAAACATATATTTTTCCATTAATATAGCCAACTTTCACGCTTGCCTTGAGATCTATTCAAAAAATTGAAATTTGTTTGATACTTATAACAACAACAAAAAAACATCACATAAGTATACTTATTTTTCAACTTTTCTTCACTAGTACAATAACGACTACACTAGACTATTATTATTACTATTATTATTGTTATTGATATCATGACGAGAAAAGAGCAAAAAAAAATGAACATTATTATCACAAATGGCCTTGTAATATCGATGTTCACCCACTAAGTTGTTGTTGAAACCTAACGATAATAACCATTTGTTATTGTGCTTGTTCTTAAAAACATAGTTGAGAATATACATTGATATATACATATAGAATAGTACTAGATCGATGCTTATAATATGAAAAGAAATGTACAAGACATGTTTCTCTGTCTATATGAAACAGCAAGAGAGAGAGAGAGAGAGAGAGAGAGAACATGAATATCTATAAAATGACAATAGAGAAATCGAAATGAACTTCAAAAACGATAGTAGAGAAATAATCATTACAAGATTCTGACCATTGAATAGTAGTTGTAATTTACTATTTAGATGATTACTATTCAGAACGTAATATAAAGAATTCTTTTAGTTTCACTAAAGTTTTTAAAAGACGAACTTAAAAATTTCAATTAGATTTGTATTTTACATAGAAAATTCGAATACAGTAGTTTCAATTTCTTCTCTCGCTAAAAGTATGACTAATCGTTTGTTTCATATCGCTGTTAGATAAAAGAAAAAACATTATTTAATATCATGCTACGAATGACGAGACATATTCAAAAATCCCTAAATTTTCGCATAGTTATAACTAAACATGTTATATATATATATACAAATAAGAGAAAATAAAATTAAAACAAAGATTAAAGTACCGAAACTTTTTTCACTATTAATAGTACATATATATTTGCGTGATGACAATATCCGGTCCGAGGGTGCTGCCGCTATGTATGTTAAATTTTTTAACCCTATTTCCTTTTGTATGACAATGGAATGAATAATAATGAATTTTATTTGAAGAAGGAAAAAAAAAAGAAAAGAAAAAAGAAAACTTTTGTGCCGGACATACTAGAATCAATGATCACAAGAAAATCCATTTTACTTATTGACAGCGACAAACAATTGGGAATTACTCATAGTAAACAGCTGCTCAGTAGTAGACATACACATCATGTTTTCATTTTGGCCTCGAGCGTTGATTCAATGATGATGATGACCGTTGATAAAGAAGAGAAGAAGGTCAAAAATAATTAGTTCTTGATGGATATAAATAAAACAGTGATAAATAGATATATATATATAAATTAAGTATCTGTAAAAAAAAAATTTCCTGCATGATAAAGAGAATTATTATCAAAAACTTTAAAGGTTAACAACATGTTTCATTTTGTTAACTATGTTCTCATATTTAAAGAACTGATTATGAAATGTAATATATATTTTCAAAACAACATATCCTATAGTTGATTAACGCGTTAGATAGTATACATAGTTCGCTCAAAGATAACAGAGAAGTCATATAAATGAATGTAGACTCCATTTATTTTTTATGTATGGTTTCTGAAAATGAACTAAAATACTACGTTTTTTATTTTATAGTGAAAAATATTAAAATTCATTCATTGATACTCTTTTTCAATGTTAATTGAGTCTAAAAACTAAGAATTTATTTAGGGTATCCAATATTTGTCTACCTTTTGATGAAACAGATTCTCATGATAAGTACATGATGTCTATTGTTTCTGTAACATTTAGGAAAAGTTCGTGTAATATATGTAAGGTTGTACACTGTACTATACTATGGAGATAATAATTCCTTATAATTTCTTCTTTGTGTGTGTGTGTTTGAACTATCCGTTAAAATAATAAATATTGCCATGTAGACAAAGAAGTGCACAAATGAACGATTAGAGTAAGAATGATCATGTAAGAATGTGTTCAGTAGCACCAATAACTTCCGTCTGAAAAAATTTATTATTGTCTTTATCTTTATCTTTCTTTGCCTGGCATTTTATCATCGTTAACAAACATGTATCGTGTGTCAGACAACAACAGTAAATTTTTTTTTTTTTTTTAAGAATAAAGAATAATGACGGTAATAATAATCATTCTCTTTTTTTTCTAAATACAAACGTTATCTTCATCAGAATAATGATCAATCGCACTATACGTGTTTATTTATGTTGTTTTACTTATGTTCATTAAATGAGAATGTATAGTACTAATAAACGACGGCATATCTAAAATCTATCATATCTAGCAAGCTTAACGGCATATACCATTCTTATTTTCTATTTACTTACTTTCATGTATCAATCAAATTCTCCATTGGAGGTCAACATAGTCCATCATTATTACATTTATCATAGTGTGAGAGATAACATAGTGTAAAACAGATTATCTGTCAGAAAAAAAAGACCCCCATTCAATCTCATTTTCTCACTACTCTAATTTATCATTATTTAGCTCGACCATCGCTACCCAAACTTCATCAGACAAATGAAATACTAACGGAAAAATCTATTGCTCAATTTTTATGTTCAACAGTGGGTGGTAATCCTTCTCCAACGTTTTCCTGGTATCTAAATCAAAATGTCATTAATGAGTAAGAAGAATAAAAAAAAATTTTTTTTTGTTTTTGTTATCAGTTTCTCTAAGTGATTCGTTTTTTAGAAATATATATACAAATGCATCGCTTAGTGAACTACGATTACCTATCGAACGACGGTATCATGGTGCTCAAATATCGTGTCAAGTTGATAATAAAGCATTGGACAAACCATTGACGATATCAATAAAATTAAATGTTCAATGTAATAAACTTGTCACATTTTATCCTATCAATATTTAATAAAAATTATCTAAACTTATTTTAGATAAACCTGATGTTTCATTAAAATATGGTCAATCGATTGTTACCAGTGGAAATATTGCTATTATTGAAAATTCATCATTTTTACTCGAATGTCTTGTAGATTCAAATCCATCAACTATTGAACATATTCAATGGTTAAAAAATGGAGCAACATTGACTGATATCACATCACCATCTTTAATTTTACAAACAATTAAACGTACAGATGAAGGCGAATATACGTGTATTGCGATGAATTCTATAGGCAAAGGTCAAGCAAGTATTCGTGTTCGTATTCAATGTAAGTATTAGAATTTGATATATACATAGTAAAACAAAGTCACTAGAATATTTTTCTTTTCATTTTTTAGATGGTCCAATAGTGAAACTAAAAGGTGCTGAAACAATTCGTGAGAATCAACGTTTATCATTAGAATGTACAACTGATGCTTATCCAGAAGTAGAGATTTATCAGTGGTATAAAAATAATCAATTATTGTATAATTCTAAACATTCAATGTTCATTATTGATCGTGTCCAAAAACAAGATCATGGCAATTATTCATGTTTAGCAAAAAATTTCTTAAAATTTTCTAATGATTCACAAATAGAAATGTCGAATAAGGCTAATATAAGAATTACTATTGAATGTAAGTTGATTTTGAATAATATATTGATACCATATTATTTTTCTTTTTGTTTAATTTAGATGCACCTGTAGTAACAAGTTTAATATCAAAAATTGCATCTGATCCAATGACTGATGTTATATTCCAATGTCAAATTGATTCTTATCCAGAATCAACAATAAATTGGTAAAAAAATATCGATAGATCAAAAATAATGTTATAATATATCATGTTTACATTTTGTTTCAGGATATTTAATGGAACTCTTATTGGAACAAATACTGGAAAATATTTTATTATACAAAAGAGAATCAATGATATTAGTCAAAGCAATTTGATCGTAAAAAATGTTCAAACACCCATTGATTATGGTCTTTATTCATGTAGTGCCATGAATAAGTTTGGTCAAAATTCTACAACAATTCAATTAAGATTAAAAGGTATGAGAGTGTGTGTGTACACATGAGACTAAATTAAATATAGATGAACATCAAAGTATGTGTATTTATTGACTAATTAATTTAACAAATATACAAAAATTCTTATGAAGATAGAAAAAACAAAAATTATCACATAATCATGCTAATCTTGTTAATTCATAGTACAATCATTAAACTTGTTAATAATCAACAGCGGAATGAACACCTTATAATATAGAGTTATCTCATAACATAACCATAGTCATTACTAGATAGAAAAGATATACATTGAGATAACACTTTATTCATCTATTTCTGTTATGCATTGCAAAAAAACAGCTGGATTTTGTTAACAAGTTTTATGATGTTTGACTTGAAACTGAATTGTAAAACACGTTGAACAAATAATAGACTCAACATGAAATCAATGATATAAATTCTATGTTTTTAATGTTGAGATTGTTTATCGATGTGTCACTTGGTGTGTGGTAGCTTATACACTGTGACACTAATCATAGTATATTCAATATCAGCCACTGTGTAGTACGGCATCAGTTCGTTTGATGTTCTTTTGTATGTTTTTTTTCTCTTTATTATTATTATTATCATCATCGATAGTCTATTCAATCATTTTTCTCCTATTTTAAATTCAACAACAAGACAAAAACATTCTATCTATTGTCTCTATTCTTATTTAGTGCCATATATACCGCCTCTTGATATAGTGTAGTTGCTCTCGTCTTCGTTCATTCCTTTCTCTCTCTCTCTCTCTTCTCTTTTCAACATACTGATCATATTGTCTACATGTAATAATCGATATCAGTGATCGTCCCGGGCAGAACGCATAAATTTTTCGAAGAGACCCGTGCTTGCCCGCTCGTAGAATATATACGAAATGGATACATTCGGATATATAGAAAGGGTGCTCAAAGAACAGCCAACTTTGTCAATGATATTTTCAAAAGAAGATAGTGTCTTTTTTCCACATTTAACGGGAGTGTTGCCTTTCAATGTTGTCTTGTAATCCCATCGACTTTTTGGAAAAATAGCTGGGTCCACATGCAGACCATCAGATTATAGCCCAGTCCGGTTTCGGCTCATAAACAAGTTTCAAAAAGGTTGGACCGGCTCGGCCAGATCCATGGACCCCCATGGGTTTCCCCGACCCGTGACGATCTCTGATCTATACATGTTTCAATGTCAAACGCAAATATATGTTGTTGATAGAGTTTAAAACAATATTTATCATCATAATAAAATGAAACAGTTTCAAACGAATAAGATGATCTATTCATCAACAACAGTCATTATTTCATCTCGCACATGCCTTTGATCAGTTTGACTCTGTATCGTAAAATTTGTTTTTCAACAAAATATTGAATAAAATAATACTCATATCTAAGTTCTTTTGTCGGTCAGCAATGAACGTATCACTCTTATTGGATCTAAGTATTATCAAGTACTTTAAAAATTTGGTTCTCTCATTTTAAAATTTTTTTTACCAATTGTCTTCGTATTTTGTATATATTCAACGTCAAAAAATTTAATGATTTTTACTAAGTAGAAACCATTCATACTTAATAAGAGAAACCTTGTATATAAATTAAACTTGTTATAATTTGTGTGCTTCAAATGATAGACGAAAAATAATCGATATTTTTTTTTCTTTTTCTATTAGATATACCCGATGTACCAGTTCAATTAAATGTTTCAAATATTTCCTATTCATCATTTGTATTGGAATGGAAGCCGGGTTTTGATGGTGGTTCGTCTCAAACATTTATCATATCATTGAATGGTCTATTAGAAAAACAAACAAATGAAACAAAAGTTTCTATAACAAGTAAGTTAAAATTAATATTTCTCTTAAGTTTTTCTTTTTCAAACACATCTATTTTAATTATCTTTACTTTTTCGCTTCTTTTTGCTAGATTTAAATCATTCAGAATTGTATACGGTTCGTGTTCGAGCACAAAATGTCTTAGGTATTAGTCGAGAATATGCTTCGGTACAAGTATCAACATTACAAGTACCGATTAGACAAGAAGGTAAATTATTAATATTTTAAAATTATATTTTTTAAGACTGAATAAAATAAATAAAAATTTATTTTATCTATAGATCTTCCATTAATTGAACATGCGACACTTCATATTGGACAGAGAACAATCAGTTATTATTTAAATGACAATTCGACATTGTTAGCAAATAAAGCATCATTATGTATCAAAGTAGAATCACAAAATGGAACAATAGAATGTAAAAAGATCATTTCGTCTATTGGTACATTACAATTGGAACATGAATTAGATGGTGATCCTACACATTTAACAGTATCCATATGTCTCGATAATTATGAAATTTATTGTGGAAAAGCATATCCAGTTGAAATAAGTATGTAAAAATATCTAAATGAAATCGATACAAGGCGTTCTAAAATGCTGTTACAATTATCATAATTCGATCATTTTTCTGTTTCTAGAGCGACAAGTTTCATTCAATTGGTTGTTTGTTCTAATTGCATCTGTCATTGTCGTATTTATCTTAATTTTATTTGGTTTATGCATATTCTGTACATTACAAAGTCGTAAACGAAAACGTAATACTAGTCGTGATACAGGTTTGTTCTCTTGCTTCATTGTTTTTTTTCTTCTAAGATCCCTGTTTTTCTATTCCCATTTGTTTTCATTCTCTAGTAGCATCATCAGTTTCATCTGCAAAACCAGTTATTGAACAGTTGTCAATTGGTACTGGAAGGTAAGAATGAATTATAACCTTGAAGACAAATATTATTTTTAATTTTGGATTTTTGAACTAAATTCAAGATATTGATGTAGCTATAATTTAATACTTGTTATCAATAGTATAGAAAAAACAATCATTAGTGTATATGTGTTTTAAACTTTCAATATGCACACACACACACACATATACACATTTATCATCGTTATTATTCTTCATTAGAACCGTTTATCTAACTTCTAGGTCAATAAGACTATATCATTATTAAATTGGTTTCTTTTATTTAGCCCTAAGTATTTCACTCATATTGCCTATCCACCAACACGTTCAGAACAACAATATTTCAAATCATCGTATAGTAAAATAGCTGAAATACAAAAATTAGATAAATTTTCTCGAAAAGGTGAGTAATCTATTTTTACTTATTAAACAAAAAAAAGCATTAGAAAATTATAAATATAATTAGCATTATGTACTAGGAAACATTAGAGGAGCAACTTTTGAGTATGATGTTCGATTTTAAACTAAAAAAAAATAGTTTGTCTATTTAATCATTTTCCTAATTTTAAGACGATAAATCGACTCGACTTATTTTAACAACAGCAAGTGGAACAAGTTTGGGCCCCGGCAGTAGTGGTAGTTCGTCTGATCCAATTTGTAATAATAATTCATCATCATTATGTGAGAGTGACCAATTAACTGTCACAGATTTTTATCCTACATCATCAATATCAACGGCAGATTCGTCGTATAAGCCATATAAAAATCCGATAATAGTTACAACGACCACATCTATGATTAATGAACCAATTTGGTCTCCAACATTTGGTAATTTAACAAGTCCAAATTCTTTTCAAAGTTATGGATTTCCTCTTTATACAACAGCCGATACGACTAACAATAATAATAACAGTCAAAGACTATCTCAAGAGATTATATCAAAAAAATATGATTTGAATGATGAGAATGAAAGTGGATATTCAACTCCGTCAAAGACAAAAAAAACTGTTTATGAGGTAGTTGTTTAAGATAAAAAAATATCTTTCATTTTGTTCGCTGTTGTGCAACGAATATATCATTACCGAGAAAATGTATAAGAAATTAGATCTGAGATTAATATATCATAATAACAGTGTTTATGTATATCTTCACAACAAGAGAAAAAAAAAGTGTTGAATATCATAATATGAGAATTGATCTAGGCCAAGGTGATAAGACACATGAATCTGATTGATAGTGCACGATATATATCATATTTACTTAAATATTGCTCAATGAACATTATTAATGAAAAATAATTAAATTTTTCCATCATTTGTTTTCTTTTTGTGTCTGTATCATTGTTTGTCATCACCGTAGTCTTCGATTTATTTGTCTTTTTTCTTTTTGAGAATGTTCACTTTACTCAGGTCATTTTTGACTAATCAGTTGTGCTCAAATTTTTATTCGCTTCCTTTTTTGATAAATAAAACCAATATGTACATCTATTTGAAAAAATTGAAAATAACTAAAGTCTCTGGTACAAAGTTCGAGATCTCAAATATTGATGAGCAAATATTAATGTTGCTTCATAACTAAATATAAGTTCCTTTATGTTAACAACTATTTGAATTCTTCTCCAATGATGTTACAGAAATTTAACCTTCATTTTGTTCATTGATCTGCCTACTATTCTAATCTTTTGTAAACGTTCCATTTTCTTAATCAAATAGTATAAGAGTTCATTGAACTTATGTAACTATACTCGTGCATCCTAATACAAATAAAAATTGAATACAAGTCATTGTATTTTACTTCATTCTCTGAGGTAATATTGATTATCGTTTTTCTAATTTATTCAATTCATTCTGAAAAAATATCTTTTGATATAGAATGCAAACTATTCATTTTCATTGTAATAATGAAATAGGAGAAAAAATGTGCACCACATGATATAAAATTGAGGTTTTATATTTAAATACCTTAGCAAAGGTTATACAAAATAATTGTGAATAAAATATTTGAAAAATCTCCGTTAACAGTGTATAGACATATGTCTCACTCTTTAATACTTATTGATATATTATCAAATCATCTGATAGCGATTAATTTTACGAAGCGTAATGACGACAATCTTATGTTTGAATCTCGAAAATAATACAAAGGGGAAAAACGGGAATATTGACACAAATTGTAAGCTGCGATAAGCTCTGATTATAAATTAATGTACCGTATAACTGATTTTTTTTTTTATTCTAGCAGGATGTATAGTTGAGCAGAGAAAAGAAAAAAAAAATTGAACTTTCTCTTGTTTTGTTTTTTCGTTGTTTGATTCTTGATCATTAAAATTTGGTTTTATCCTCAAGGCAATAAAACATATATATTCTTAAAAGCCATTTTTAATGAACTAATATGAACTCATTCGTTTTGCTTCAAGTCTTTTACGTTCCCATCAGTTATGTCCGCTAGAATATGTGACTTTAACAACGGGTGGTATATAAGAGAAGAAAAAAAAAAAGAAGAAAAGTGACACCTCTTTCTACTACTGTACAACAAAACATTTTGAATACTCTACATGATGCTTTTTGTTTTAAAAATTATGTACGACTGAAAGATGTAGAAAGAACAGGAAATAGGTATTTGCCACTTGGAAGACCATAAGTCGTTCAATTACACTTGAGAATTGTTCATAGTATCAATGAAGCGTAAACAAAGTATAATTTGAACATATTTTATAACAGTATATTGGATACTAATTTAAGTACCTTTTGAACATTACCGTCATGATAATAGTCTATATAATAGATTAATAACAGTGTAATAATAGAAACGAATGACAAGACTTGTTACTTGTATAACTCTTTCTCATTGAAAATGGGTTTTTCATAGTCTAAAGATTAGCAAAAATTTGGTTTATTGAAAAGAGAAACATTCTAAAACGATAAATATATTCCGTTTGGTTCCTCTATTCTCTGATGGATGATATCTACTATATATGTATCTATATAGAATTAGAATTTCTTCATCAGTATGCACTCCATATAGTTAATCAATGTCCAAAAAAAATTGTCTAAGAATGATTTATTCGTTATATTAAGTGAACACATAATTACAAACTTTTATGTCGAACGAATAAATCAAAGGAGTACATCATTATCATATGTGTTCGAGTTATTTTATTATTTTTTTCAAAAACAAAAAAAAAAAAAATTAGACTAAAAGCATCATCATCATTCATGGGGAAATGATACTGTAATGATTAGTATATCACACAAAAGACAATAATGACCAAAGCAGATGAGTTTTCTCTGATGTTTTGAAAATTGAATATATTCCCAAGATGAACACACACAAAACAAAAAATTTGAATAAGAATCTATTATTATTATACTGTATTCATTTTAGATATATCAATTTTCATTTATTGTTAAAAAGAATGAAGGCAATACACACACACACACACACACACACATATACATCTCATAGATACAATTGAGCAATATTGCTACGCGGTCATACGTCAAAAAACTTGAAAGTTTTCACTTTGATCTTATCAAAACAAAATGGAAGTTAATGTCAAAAAGTTATTCGTGCGTCTAACTGTCACATGAACAAAAAAATGATGAGCAGAAGTAGATGTCTTTTTATTGTTAAGAATTTAATGTCAAAATGCTCTTATCCACAATATGTTTCATAAACAGTTGCCGTTGGCTATATACGTTAAGAAAAGAGGATATATGTATTATTGTTTTATAGATAAATAGAGATAAATGAAAGTATATTATGAAATAAACTATCTATTTTGCAGGATTTTATCTTAAAATATAAAATTCGATAGTTGATAGGCAATCCTTTTAACATCAATAGTTGATTGTGATTTAATTTTATAAATAGAAAGATTACAGAAAAATGTTTTGATTTAAATTTAATAGCAAATCACTTTCTTACAAGTCTTAATTATATATGGTCTTACTTTTATTTTAAAAATAATAATAGAATTAATTTTCTATTCATGATAAAAGAAGAAGAAAAAAAAATTTTTTTGAAATAAAAACAAACATCCACATGCCTTTTATTTTTACTGTGTATACAGTTGTTGCTTGAACGTCGGTTATCTCATCATTAATATTATGACCAGCTGTGTGTATGTGTAGAACATTTGTATATATTCACATGTCTCTTTCGAGTTTATTAAAATTTGATGTTAACTGTCCTTGAAATATAACACTATGGAACTTTATAATTATAGGTTCAGTTGACAAAAAAATAGAGATCAGTTTGCTTTAACGGTGCCATATTATCAATTATTAAACAAAATAGTTCTTAACACCAAATTTCTTAACAATAGAAGGATGAAAATAGCTTGAAGGAGAACTATAACAATGATATAAGATACTGAGAAAAATAAAATATGAAAATGTCTGTTTCATAGTTAAGTTAATAATTGAAGCATCAAATTTAAAAACAATTTTCCCCTCAATATGAATATATCTGTTCAAAAAATAGTTTTAATCACGCTAATAATCTACTCTCTACAATAATAAATGACTGTTTGAATATATATGTATTAAACAGTATACAGGTGAATAACTAAAATCAGATAAAGATCTTCAGTCTCTTCAGGTGAATTATAATCTCACATCTACCACATGTATCCTCGCAAGACTATAGACAGTCACGATCGTATCCTTATAATAGATAGTATTCAACATTTTTTTATCAATATCTCTAGGATTTCTTTACTAGACTTATATCTCTTTTGTCATGATACTAAATATCTTTCGGCAACTTAGACAAAGTTCATCATCAACAAATTGATTGAATCCACAATTATTTAGCAATAAAGATAAAAATAAAATATTCTTTGGGTGTATTTATTTACTCTTATATAGCATAATCGAACTATTTCCTTCCACTTTCAACAAAAAATTCTAAAGATATTTATTTAGAGCAATCAATATATCAACATATAAATCTTACATGTGTCTGAAAATAAAAATTTCAATTAGTCACATTTCTCACAGGTGAATTTTCATATTTCTTTTTTTTTTTCTGACCACGCCTATCAAATTTTTCTATGTATTTATGAACATATGTATGTCAACAGTAAAAGCCCATGTCAACAGGATAACCATTATTAATGTCAAAGATGAAATTTCAAGGTCTAATTGTCTTTCGATATGAGCATAACAGCATACATACACTTAAACATCTTAAAAAAATAAGGAAATTTTATACTTATCATCTGACTAAAAAATAAAGTTAGATTATCTTTTGAGTGTCTTTTCAACAAAATCAATCGACGTAATTTTATCAAATAGTTAGTAAAATTTAATCATTTAAACTGGACTACACATGGATTCATTAATGGGACCAAAAAAAGATCTTTGTTAACCAGAAATGGACGAGTACAAGTCATGACATGAACTCGAGTCACATTTTTCCATGCTATGGACTGAAACTCGAACTCGAGACGAAAGATAAACTTGATAAACTGACTTAGTCAAGCAGTCACGTGAAATTTTGAGTAGTGTTTCTTATATTTGTTATATACGAGAATACAGAAAAAGATTTGAGAATATTCTAAGACTTACGAAAAAAGAAAATACATCAGATAACACATAGCAAACGTTCAACAGAACGAGTACAGTGAATGCTCAATGCGACAGAAGCTGTGCAAAGCTGTTTTTGGAAAACTGAATCAGTGGGAATTTCATCTTTAGAAAATGACTCGAGATGACTATAGTCAAATTCGAAAGAATGACGACTCGCCTATCTCTGCCATTAACATGCTATAAAATAATTTTCAAGTTAATATAGCCATATGATATTTTATTCTGCATAAAATGCTCATTTATCATACGTTTTATTTCAACATAAGCATTGGATATCTTATCAATAGTAATCGAGCTTAATACACCAGCTTTTTGTTGATAGCATTACACACCATGGTTTCTTTTCACTGGTCCGTAGCATTTTGTGCGATGTTTTTTGATTTTGGCAAGCTTTTAATTTGAAGAGAACCAATTAAATCAAAATTTGAGCAACAACGGTGTAGTAGCGATACATTATAATAGCAGAACCCCATCAGATACAATCGTATAATAAACCAAAATTTATTAAGACTTTCGCCAATGGATCCCTTATGGTCTCCACTATATGTGTGGTAGGTTTCAGAAAAAAATTACATTTTGCTCTTATTTTATTCAAAATACATCAAAGATGGTCACGTTTTCTTCCAATCGTAGGGATTCTAGGTGATGCTTACACATATTTTGGGATGTGGGGACGGGATTTTGAAAGGGCTTTATAACTTTTAGAATTAATTTGTTTGAATTTGTAATATAATTGCTATATCTCTCGTATCTTTAACTCCTTTTTCTCTGTTTATTACAGAGTGTATTTGATGAACTACAAAGAAACGAGAGTTTAACCTCGATTCGTCTCTAAAAAATGAAAAATCGTATCACACATTGATAAAATAATAAGACTGAATGTAAAGGTTGATTGACGAAAACCTGCAGTACTAATCCAGACAGATCGAAACCAAAAAGAATTAGGTCTATCGACAAAACCGTTACTCATCAGACTACAAAACTTTGTACGAAAGTGTAGCAAGAAAGAAGCCATAAGTTAACCAAAGTGAAACCTTTTAAAAAATTAGATTGTACAAAAACCCATTAGGACAAACTCGTGGACTTCTAGAAATCGGTGTTATGATTCGATGCATCCAAAACAATTTGTTTGGTAGCGACGGAAAAGTTATAATTAGTCAAAGAACCACATCTGAGATGAAATATTCCAAGAAATATACATAAAATTGTGGGGGTGTTTTGCGCGAAGTAACGTTGAGAATTTTGTGTTCATCGACCGCAATATGATCGGCAAAATCAAACAGTTAATCAATGTGGTAAAAAAGTAATTATTGTCCATTCTAACCCTTTGAATCCAGTGATACATACGTTATACCACCTGTTTTTCAGTAGAGAACAAAGCGCTTTGCTCTACATTAAACTTTCAAATTTCCTGCATTATACATTAGACGATAAACTTTGTTTACTTTTTCATTGATGTGCCTACTGTAGTACAAAAGAAGTATATATATTCGTCTATTCTAGAGTTCAACGAAACTTTTATAAAACAATAGAAAGTATCTTGGTTTTTGAGAAGGTTTTGTAGAAGTCTTTGGAAATAACGGAATATTCTTTTCTAATCTTAATTGAGGATCAGCACACAAACTTCACCCACCGTTTTGTTGTGCGAAGACTCAAAGTATATAATTCCTACTAATTTTCGAAAAATGTTCAAAGTTTTATCGCATCTCAGCAATTATTTATCGTATAGTCAAGAAAAAGAATTCACAGATTAAAACGTAGATGGATTCACTCAATTTCTGATTACCCGGATGTTAATGTTTATATTAGGCAGCGAGGCAAAGATTGGAAGAAAAGGTGTCACTTTTAAAAATTATCATGATTTTTACAATTTTTGAAACAGTTGTTCAAAAAAAGCTAAAAAAAGACTAGTCATTCAGTTATGAACATGCAATATTTGCATTCATATCTTATATAATTTACACTGTTTTCTTATTTATCGCAAAATTTTCTGTAATAATTCTTTTAGGAGTCATTTACGTATGTTATTGTACGACTAAAAGAAGATAACATTGCTTCTGTTATATTAATGTATGTTCTTCTTTGTTATTATCGCTTTCTTCAACACAATCACTAATACGCCATGTTTTCAACGGAAAATTTTTAGATGTGCAGTGAAAATTCCAGAGTCACGATGAAAATTACGGGAGATTTTAGTAGTTTTTCATGATGACTTTCATTGGCAACTGGAAAATTCATAGATATAAAAAATTCGATTAGTAATAGTCGAACGAGATATCAGTTATCTGAGCAAAAATTCACAAATTTTATTCTATCAATTCATCGGTCTAATATCTTCAAAAACTTCGTTAATGGAAAATTACAAAATACATAAAAATTGTATGCAGTTGACTAGACAAAACAATCAATTATCTATGTCTTATTAATAACAAAAAGAACAAAATAGAAATATAAAATGTAGAAATCACAGATTTTTCAAAAACAAGAAATTTTTTTCAAAATTAAAAAACTTAAACATTATTATTGGAACGTTGTGGTGTCGAATCTAAATCTTCTTTATATCGCATCACTAAACGTCCAAGATAAATATTACGTTCACGTAAATAACGTATCATATCTGCTTGTTTTTCAAGTATATTTTCTGTATACGCTTCGTTTCGAGAACCACTTTCCGATATAGATGTTTGTGTTGCCGCAAAACTTCCCGATGAATCTTCTTGTGCAGCATCAGGTCGAGCACGTCGACTATTGAATTTGATTGTAAGAACTAGAAAATAACGAATAAAGTAAAAAGTTTCCAATAGGTACACAGTTGAAAATAGTCGAGAAAAGAAAATTTCTGGAGAACCTTATCGTCTGCTTTTTTGAATAACATGTACGTCTTACATACCTAAATACCACACTAACGCAATCATCATCAGAATAACTTCGATTGTGGTAAGAAATTGTAAAAAATGCCATGCTCTTAATTTTAACGATGTACATGGTTTATCATAACAATATTCGAGCACTTTGATTAGTGAAACAAGAATCGCATTTCCTAAATAAGATAAAAACACACTAATATCAATTTTAAAGATATTTGTGTTTTTTTGGTCATACCAGCTGAGATAATAAACAGTGGTGCTCTTCTTAAATTGTGCGTTTTACGATAAAATTCTAAATAACCATTACGCCGTGACTTATCCTGCTGATAATGATAAAATCTAAACAAAATTAGAAATAAGAGATATCGATCGTAGTTATTAAATCAGCATATACCTATCGAAAGCTACGTTGAATAACCAACTAGCCGAATGAATATAGAGAGAATAAACATAACCATGCAATACACATTGTTTATTTGGATGGCATAAAAGTGGTAAAACAATTATAGCTGCTTCAAAAAGGATCTAAGACGTAAAAAACCAATGACAAACATGGTTTTCTCTTGTTCTATAATAAATTCAAAAAAATTGACTACTTACTGTAAGAAAAATGTGAAAAATGATGATGCCAGTTGTTCGAATTTTAGGATGGATTTGTTCGACATTGTCGATCAATGGAGTATGTTCAGTTATATCTTCAGCTGTTATCGAATGATCATCAAATGAAATACCCTGGATAAGAATAAAAATACATTCTTATTATCTATTCAACCGATATATGCACGCAGTACTTACACCTCCTCTACTATTACTATTTCTGTTTAGACTAACCATATTTTATGAAACCATAGTCTTTAAATTGTCTTAATCAATAAAATTCGTACTTTCTAAAAGATTCTAAATCAATAAAAAAAACAACTTTTGTTCTCAATTCCCATATAAAGAAATCTCACATTAGTCGAAAAGAAACTGACGAAACCCTATAGCTGAGATTTGAAGAGAAAATATTAGAAAAACTCATTTTTTTATACTCTAATAAAAACAACAATAACTCAAAAGAAGTATTGAGAATGTGAGAAAATGTTCGAATAAATTCTTGTATTTTAAAACCACCTAATATTTCATTACATTATTATTGAAGTTTGTTTGATTTCTTGTCATTGATGATGAGATGATACATATATAATTCAAAATATTTTTGTTTACTGTTCAATAATATGTGTCATACATTTGAACGATAAACAATTACAATACGCAAAATATACAAATTTTGGAACGGGATAAAAATTGCTGAGCAACTGAAATTTCTTTTTGAGTAACGCATATTGAAAATTAAAAATGAACTTGTTACTACTACTACCTATCTTGTTTCTTCCTCATATATTTTTTTAAAACAAGATTCATCAACATAAGGAGAAAACGATGGGAAAAAACGAGTTACTCAGAGGATAAAAAAAGTCACTTACGCCGCTTAAATTTTTTTTTGAGTAATTCTATCGAGACGAGAGGATGGATTTTTAGATCTAATTAAAAATGCTGAATGGGTACCAGATATAAAGGACTATCACAAAAATGTAGTAATGATACTATAACTCAACTCATTTTATAATTAGGCCATATATTGAAAAAATTCGAAAGAATACATGTATGTTTTAATGATTATATAATTGTTCTAAAAGAGAGAATAAAGTATAGAATCATAAATGATCCAGTTCTTTTAGAAGAATTTTCTGATTTTATTTATCTTATTGAAATCCTGAAAAATTGTTTTATTCTCGTACATATAGTTGATCTAAGATAAAAGTACTACTTCTGATAGTGTGAGATAGTTGTTGAGAGTTTGCTCGAGAAAGTGATTGCAATGAACAAAAATTGTTGATGATAATAACGTTGATGAGAGAATATTCATTCATCAAGATAAAATGCAGTTAGTCACATTCATGTTCAAATGTTAAAACAACAAATCACTTCTACCATGTGATACTTTTATCCTAGATCATCTGAATAAGAAGAAAAACTTTTCATGATCAATTGTAAAAGTAATAATACAAATATCTTATTTTTTAAAAATTTGACATCATATGAGCATTTTTTTCTCGAATCATTTATTTTTACCTACAGAAAAAACAAAGAAAATATTAATAAAATACAAAATAGATCAAAACTTTAGTTCATAGACAATACAGTGGACACAACTGTTTTTTTTTGCTTTGTTTTTAGAATTTCCGTTTATGAAAAAATAAACAAACAAAAACAATGAGTTTGATTTATGTGCTCATATAAAATGTATAAATAATAAAAAAAAAAGAGAGAGCAGATCATTTTTTTTCTCTTCTCCTGTAAGATGAACAAGATTCATGAAAACAAGCTCTTATGAAAACTATTTTTCTTATCAACAAATGCATTAATAAATAAAGAGAAATAGCGAACAGAAATGAAATTATTTTGAATAAAGTAAAAGTTATCAAAATGAAGAAAAAGAAGAAATATTTATTATTATTGAAGAAAGTCTTTCAGATTTTCTCACTGTTTACAAATCAAAGAGATTAGTCAGAATAAAACGCTGTGAAATGCGAATAATTTTTAAATAGAACAAAAATGACGCTAAAAAATCAGATAACCGTTAGAATAGCGAAATTTTTGTCATCAATGTGCAGAAATATGAAATATATCTATCTATTCAACAGTGCTCATTTTTGAGAACAAAAAAGTAAAGTCCCTCCCAATAGTAAAACTTTTTTCTAATATCGTTTTGTTGGTTGGCTCATCGAAAAGAAGAAAACAAAAATTGAAAATCGGAAATTACTTTCAGCACAATGCGTAGTAAAATAGTATAAAATAAGCGATTATAGACATTTAGTATCATATCGAATAAATTTGTTGGAGTAACGAAAAAAGTGTAACAGAATGAAAAATGTTCTATTACTGAACATTTATATCGAGTTATTTTTCTCTAGAGAAATGGATTTGTCGAGTTTGTGCGTGGTTTAAAATAATTTTGCTGCTGAGACGGTTGTTGTTGTTGTGTAATATTCTAGAATGAGAATATAAATGTAAACAATCGATGTATACATTTTTCAAGCGATGTGTCTTACTAGAAAAGGATTTGGTGCTCCACTGGGAGACGATTGAGATACTAGAAAGAATAGAAAGAATCTGTCGTTAACTTGTTTATCTCACGTTCAATTATGAAAGTATAAGAGGTTTATCATAATCATAGTAAATGACAGATTTTTTACCTTGATTACTAGGTGGTGCCATAAATGGGAGACCTGTTGATGATTGCTGTGATGGCATCATCATTTGATTTTGAAATGGATTAGGATTAAAAGATTGATTATTGGCAAAAGAAGTTGTTGCTGGATGAGGTGGATACGAAAAATAATTCAGGTTTGTATTAAATGGAGAATTAGCAGTTTGTCCTTGTACATTTGACATATAGGATGATGAAACAGGCATTTGAATATTTGATGTTACTGAAGTCGGTTGAGACATATGAAAATTTGTGTAGCTAGGTGAGCTGGCGAACATTGAATTGCTGGTAGGTAATATGGATGTTCCTGTTGCATAGGACGAAATATTCGGTATAGATGTTCGTTGTCCTTGAGTGTAGAAATATAGAAATGATAATGGTTTGTTTTGAGCAAAAGGAGAAGATTGCGTATACCTCGAGCGCCAAATGCTGAATAAGAATTTTGAGTATAATGATCATTTACTGTATTCTGAGGAGTAAATAATTCAGATAATGCTGCATATTTGTCAATCTGTCAGTAAAAGTCAAAAATGCATGAGGGAGATGCCATACGAAAGATGATTTTAGCTACCTGTTCAGATGGTGGCTGAGTTAGTACTTTATCGGAAGATTTTACATTAGTGTTCTCAGCAAATGCACTCCAATTACTACCATTATTTTGTGGTTGTGTCGTAAACGAACTAAATGTCTGATCTAAAACAAAAATACCATCAAGAGCAAAATAAAAATTTGAATATATTTTTGAATATCCATCCGCATTAGAACCCAAATCATTCAGAATTATAAATATTTAAAGCTCTTTTCCTCCTTTTTTTGGTTTTTCTTACTGTTAAAGAAATTAGTTGTAGTCGGTGATATAGATGCCGGTGACGAGAAGACATCCAATAAAACTAAAATATAAAGAAGAAATATTTCGATATCTTTAAAGTATCTCATTTACATACCATCGGATGTTGTTGAATCCACTGTGGTTGATGATGTAGTCACTGGTGCATCAAAAAAGAGCATTGGAGGTTGAGTATTATTTGCTGAGATAGATGTACGACTAGGCTACAAAATAGAGGAATATTCGTGAATTCTAAGATTTTGTTGGAAGACTATATTACGGTACTTGCTGAAGAGGCGGAGGAGGATGTATTTCACTGTGAGTATGATTTGAATTTGGAGTATTGTTTGTTTGTGACAACGTTACTGTCGTAGAACCTGTAGGTGTTTTTGTGTTGTTATTATTTGCTTTTTCTAGTAATGCATCTGTTTCAGCTTTGACTTTTTGTTTGACAGCTTCAGTAGGTGAAACAAACCATCTGAACAAGAAAAATAAATTGATTAGTGTCAAAATATCGATTTTGTAACAATCGTTTGGAGAAGTTAAAATTACCGTTTTCTTTCATATTTCTGAGATAAAAACTCTTTAAATCGTTCTGTGTCTTTTGGATCAGGACTAAAACCTGTATTTGAATCATACAGACCGAGGTAAACCATTTTATTTAACGAATTTCCGTGGTTGCGAATAAATTCAACTTCATCTTGTGTAAATGTTGACATATTAATCGATTTAACACGATGTGGTGGATTTAGACCGCGACTAAACAACAATGAACAAACATAGTATTTTCGATTGAACTTGATGAACTTATATTAATATATAAACAAGTATCATCAAAAATATTCTTGATTGAACCTTAGCTTAGAAAATCCTCTTCTTTCAAATTAATTGAACTGATTAAAATGTGTTTGAATCCAGTAAGTCGTATACAACGATAAAAAGCTGTTTATATGAAGTGTATTAAAGTCTTGTTTCTTTTTTTGCAGTGTAGTTATACATAACTAAAATTGCTACGTTTAACAATCAGAAATCAGTTTTAAAAATATAGTACCGTACGCAAAGATGAATTGAACACTAACAGTTCTTAGACATTGTCTTTCAATTCATTTAAAGGCAACAATTTAAACAACAGACTTACAGTAAACCACTACACGCAGTACAAATAAAACTTCCAATGGTCATACTAAAAATAAAGATTAAACTTCATCAGTTATAGTCAACCATATAATATTAATATTGCTTGTACGCACTTCACATAGGTAGGTCCTTTTTGGTGACAATCAAAACATTGTTTATTTTGTGGTAAAGCGGATAAATCCCTTATCAGTTGCACATATTTTTCTTCTTGTTTTTTTGCTTTTGATGTATTCTGATAAGCCATGAGTATTATAAATAATCTATATAAAACACAACAAAGAAAAACAAAGGAAAAAAAAGAACGGAAACCAACGAGAATTGTTACAATTTTAATATCTAAAACAGAAAAACACACAAAACTAAATCAATGTAGACGAATTTAAACGATGAAAAATAACTATGCAAAAAACAAAAATTTCTTTCAAGATCAATTGTCATTCCATGCATCATTACATCGTAAATATTCGTTCATCCCATTAATTAATTCTTCAATTGGAGGATCAACATAAGCATTATTTTTCACGAACTGTGGTACTGTTCCTTCCCACTCAAGTAATTTTTGTAACCACTGTTTTAATGCGCCATTCTCTTCTAATACATTATCCTTCTTAAATAATTTGATATATGCTCCATCCTGTTCAGATTCAACAATATCAAACAATTTCCATGATTGTGGATGTATGGCTGTAAATTCTGGATTATCCCTCACTTTGCTTTTATTATCATCCACAATCAACGTTTGTTCACGCCAATTTCCATTTTTTTGATTTAATTTCCATTTTTCTTCAAGAGATTGAGTATTCCATACACGTTCTAAACATTTATAAAATGATGTCGACGTCTTTTCATTCTTATCGTCATTCTTTTCCATTAAGCACATATCTTGCCACCAATAAAATAAAAGATTTGAATGATCAGATTCATTAGGTAAAAGCGCTTCGATTAACGGTACCATATTTTCTTTTCGAACACTTGACCAAATACCAATATGAAAATGATCTAAACACCATTGTAAGAATTCTTTGACACCTGGACGAAGCCAAATGGCAAAATTTCCTTTATATAATGGACGTTCGATGGTGCCATTTCTATATTCATTTTTAAATAAGTCCTGATATTTATAATACTCCTTTTTATACACTCGATGAACTAATATACCATTTAAATCCAAAATAAGCAAACGTTTTATTTTAGACATTGCACCTGTTTACCAAAAAATTTCCTTTAAATAGAGAATTATCAAAGTGAGAATTAAAATAGAAGATCTATCAGAAAAACGCGAACAATTGACCCATTCTCATTTTTAATTGTCGCAAAGGAAAAAAAACGGGAAAGTGAATATTTTTCTTGGTTATCTTTCAGTTTGATGTCTGTATACTCAGCTTTCTCGTCTGTTTTTGCTATATATTTAATCCTGTATCTCATAATTACTCATCCGTGCGAAATTTATGAATTGGGTAATATTTTCAACCATTCCAATGCGCCTTAATAGCAGTCAACAGGTCGAGATACGCTACTGAAGAAATTTCTACTGAGGAACGCTAACTCCTACACATTTCACGAAGAAGCCAGCACTCTTCAGTGGAAATTTCTTCAGTAGCGTATCTCGATTCAGTCAACAGTAGTAGTATCGTTGTGCGCGATCTCTTTCGACTATAAAATGCGAAGAAAACTGTAGCTGAAGATGTTATAAGGACTTGTTTGTTAAAGAATAGTGTGGGTTAACGCGTTTTTAAACGTCTGAATTGAAGGTACCGCTCGATGCTACCTGACAGAAGAAAATCGCAGAGGATGTTGATGACGACAATGGCATGGATGTTAAGCAAGCATGTTATTATACATATTTATTCATTTATAAAAATCAATTTATGATTAGCACGGTAATATATTCAGTTGTAAAAATTCACTTGCATTCATTTCATTCTTTACGAGATCGCTTTCTGACGAGCAGGTGACATCTGGATACGGCAGTGGTTCGTTGCTAATGATTCATTGCTTGAATGTTTCTACAAATCGTTAAACATCTAAAAGGCCTGCTAAAATGAAAAGCATGCTTGCTTGCTTTTTTTCCTTTTAGCTCCAAAGAGAGACCATTCAAGTCAATTCACATTGATCCTGCCTCATTGAAACTACTATTTGAGCTAAAAGGAAACAAATGCCTGCTTGATGCTTCCCGATATAGTATAAATCTCCGTTTATTTTCAATAACTTTTACCTATCTTTTCACGTTTCCGAACACTACAAGAAGTTGGATGCAATAGGTTGTTTGTCAGAGGGAACACTCATCTTTCTACCTCATTTAGTGCTGGGGCCTGTTTCTTAAAAAAAACTTAAGTAGAAAATCTTACTTAAGTCAAAAAAGACAAAGACTTTTTTGGACTTAAGTTTGACTTAAGTAAGATTTTCTACTTAAGTTTTTTTAAGAAACAGGCCCCTGGTAGTTAATGCGAAGAGAAGTAGACCGGCAATGCTGCTGGCGATAGATTGACCCACTTTTTCTATCTGAATTATCTGAGAAGTATTTGTTTGAGAGATATAATCCGATACAACTTGTCAATGACCATGCAATATCACGTAGAAGAATGTTAAGTCCTCTCTAAAAATATCACAAACTGAATGCTCAAAAGTTCAAAGCAAAAGACTATTCGCATACAATTAACGAACCGCGAGTAGAACTTTTATCTTGATAAAGCTATAAATCTGTGATGTTTCTATCTACCAGTATAGACACGACTGGACTCAAAAACAAATTTCGGATTTGAATCGAGGACAAATTAGTAAAAAACACGAAAAAACTACCTTTTTAGAGGCCGTGGACTGGACTCAGAATTTTAAGTCCATAGGAAGTTCTGCTATTTACAGAAAAAATGCGAAGCCATTAAGCTTCCTGATCCAGTTCAAACACAAAATGAGAACGATCTTTAATGTTAAGTGCAATTATCTGTTTGAAATAACGACGATCTGACAATTAAAAACTAGATTAGTCAATCGGATCTGTGTTTCTAGAGTCAGACTCAAATTACACCATGTTGACCATCGAGTTGGATTAGATTTTAGTTTCTCAACCCTTGCGGCTTCTTAATATGAAAGAGCTGAAAAACTCGACTTGCGGTGCTAGTAGATACTGCTGTTTTTTTTCACGAGTATTCAGCAAATACCGATTTCTTTTATGATATTCACCGCACGTACGTCGTAGGCATTAAACACGTCAAGAATTGATAAATAACTTTTATACAAAATTTGTTTCATCCTGTTAACTAGTTCATTACTCATCGCCGCTTAATCGCGAAAATCTTGCTGTACATTTGTTTAACTTCAAACAATTTGCTGTTATTTGATTATTTAGAAAAGATTAAAATTTTTTTTTATTAACAATGAGCACATCCACTACCGATGAACGTGCACCACTTCTTGACACAACGCCCATACGTGTTGCATATACCGGAAATAAATTTGTTGATCCACGTGGTCCTTATTTACGGTAAGAGTTACGGTCGATTATTTACGGTACAAAAAATTGTTTCTTTCAGATGGATTGCTGTATTTTTCATGTGTTTTCTGAGTTTTGGATCATATTATTGTTACGACAATCCGGCGGGATTGCAAGATGTGATGATAAAAGATCTGAAGATATCATCAAGTACTTTCACAGCATTCTATTCATGGTATAGTTGGCCGAATGTGGTATTAGCCGCTGTAGGAGGTGTCCTGATTGATAAAGTTTTTGGTGTGGCTCGTGGTGCTGTAATTTTTTGTTTTTTTATCGTTATTGGCCAGGTAAGTTGATCACTTTATCTAATGAAAGTTTAATAATTTTTCTATTATTATTTACATAAAAAAAGATTGTATTTGGAATTGGCGGATGGTTTCGACTTATATGGTTAATGAATGTTGGTCGATTTATTTTTGGGTTAGTCTTTTGATGTTTGAAATTTATTATCGAACATGATACCAGCAAACATCTTTTTCGTTGTAGAATTGGTGGTGAAAGTTTATCTTCTGCCCAAAACGCATATGCTGTCAGTTGGTTTTTCGGTAAACAATTAAATTTTGTGTTTGGATTGCAGCTTTCATTTGCTCGTGTTGTAAGTAAACATTAATAAAGACAAGACTTACTTTCATTCAGAAAATCATCTGAACTTTACAAAAGATAATTAACTGTAGTTGAATTATTAGAAGAAGCGAGAAATTTTTAGCTTATATGTACTGTTTAGGGAAGTTTGGTTAATTTAAACACAATTCATCCTATTTATGATTCGCTTGACAATAATCTATCTGGACCACATCGTATCGGAGCAACTCTTTTGATTGGTAAGTGGGAGACTTGTTAGCCCTACTATTTAGAATAGGCAATGTTATTTGTAAACTTTAGCTGTTTCCACATGTATTGTTTCATTTATCAGCGGTTTATGTTTATGGTGGCTTGATATTAGACGTCGGCGCGTTTTACTTGAAGATGAGCCCAACGCTGCGGGTAAAATCAGCACAGTGTATAGATCCTTTCTTCTGACCTTAGCATTATTTGTTTATTCTTTTTAGTTGATATAGTTCATCTTCGTGGTAAGTAGTACAGTACTGTGAAAAATTATAAAATCAGCATTATTGAGGTTGTTATCTGAGTTCTCGCTTTGATTATTGAAGACAAGTGTTAGTGTAATCGTGTTACGTATGCTGTTTTCAAACTTGACATTAAAAAAGTTTCACACCATCGTCTTCATACTAAAAAAGAAAATATTCAAAAATATATCAATCGTTGCTTGTAAATAACTGTAGAATCACATCACTAAGTGATCTTACTTACTTTTACTATCAGGTAAAA